ATCACAGACCCTGCAGGTTTGCACACATCTGTAACTCACCTTGTTTATTCCCAATGCCACATGTTTGTGTAGAGACATTTAAGCTGGGTGCTGGATGAAGCTGATTTACTGTCTGGAGAGGGGGGAATTCCTTTGTGCTCCACCTCATGTGCTCTGTGCTGACCTGTCAGCCCTCTCCAGGCTCTGGGATCTCTTACTGGCCCTGACATCAAACTTCCAGGAGTGGAATGGATTGAAGTTCCTTTTTTCCTGTAACTGTAAAGACTCTTCCCCACCTTGGCAGCCCTGTGAGTGAAGATGTTCCTCCCCTTTCCCTGACAGATTTCCCCCAGCAGATGAGGTTTCTTAAACCAAGTCCCACACCCTAAGCAGCCAAACCCCTGCCTGTGGCACCAATCCTGCAACCATTTATCGATTCACCAGATTCATCTGGCCCTTTCAAACCCTGCCGCTCCCAGAGCTCCATTTACCCTTCTTGATACTCCTCAGGCTGCTCCTGGCTGTATCATCAGTGCCTAGCAATTCACCTGCCCAATGCTGGAAAACCCAGCACGCAGCCAATATATCAATTGTTGTCCTTAATGACTTTAATATTCATCTTATTTTTTACAAGTTTGGGATACCAGAATCCCAGGGACTAACCCAGCAGGCTTTGACCAGGCAGCACCACTGGCACAGTGACCCATCTTGCTGGCAGTGGCAGTAGCTCCTTGCTCTGGGCAGGAACAGAAGTATGGAAAGTAAAAGACAAACCCTCTTGCTACCACTTGCTCTGGGCTGGGGTGAAAGCAGCTGCTGAGAAGCTCCCGTGGAGGCTGTGCAGGGCAGCTTGAATGACTTCCACGTTTTCTAAAAGATGCTCTGGTCCAGCGCCTGCTCCTGGTTAGTGTCGATACTGGTTGAGTTCCTGTGGCTTGTGCTGTGTAGGAGATCAGATAAAAAATCCATTGCCTCCAGGCCTGAAAAGCTGCTCAAGGGCAGGGTATTTCTTCTCACCATTTTCACAACTCTTCCACTGAATCTTTGCATCTGGGAGAAAATAGAAAGCCCACGGATTTAAACACACATCCTCCCTTCCCCACACAGACTGGTTGAGAGCTTCATTTTCTCCCCCGTTCCTAGTCACCACAGAGTTTGGGACATCTGCAGTTAAAAGCATTAAAGATGTTATTATAATAATTACCAAAATCACCCATTTTTACACATAGCTGGAATGTAACTATATTTTTTCAGACCTCAGTTTTGCACTTGAATGAAAGTGAACCCAAGTAAGCAGTTGTGGTTCTGGTAACTCAAGCTTATAAAAAAAATACCTCAGCATAAGTTCAACAATCAGAATTGCTGTATTGACTGTGTCTGGGCTTTTGGAATTTACAACAGTTTTGGACTGTTTAATCTATTCTGTGATTGCTGTGAATGAAAGCTCTGAATATATGTTTAATTCACTGAAAAATGACTTTAAAATCTTTCACAGTGAAACTTTTCCCTTGCTGGAAAGTTTATGTATTAGTTGCAATTGTTTGCTGATTGTGCTGCTTTGACTGGCTTGTTGAACAAAATGCTTGAATGACATGCTCTGCTGGTTCACTCCCTCCCCCCTTTCAGATCTTTTTCTCAACTGAATATGCAGATTATGCTTTATTCTGCAACTCCTGATACCCTTTATTGAAGATGTTTCAATTCTAAACCTGACATAGTGTTTTATTTGCTTGCAATGTTCACAATGAGTTTTTACAAATAGTATAAAATTTAAGAATAAAGGAATTTTCAAGAAATAAAAATCAAATTAGGTAGAAGGTAGAAGGTGTGAAATAATCTGTATTTGACAATAATATATTATACATCTCATGCAGAACATTAGAAAAAAACACAGTGAGGAGCAATTGGCATGTGGGAAATGCAAATTTCTGAAAAAAAATTACACAAAGGCATCAGGAACCATCACCCCAGAACACAGGTCAGACAGATTTTTGGACTATGAGTCCTAGAGAGGATGAAGGATTGTTAAATGCCAATAGCAGATTTGCACTGCAGGAGACAGAGGTTACCTTGAACTCAACAGGCTGGTCAGGAGATCAAAACAGAGATCTTTTTGCGGCCAAATCAGAATGAAACTTCTTTCCCTAGCTACCTTAAGAAATGTTGTTTATTAAACCCTCCCAAAATGAGTTGGCCTATTTATATTCACTGTTATATGTCCCTGAGGACACGGCCCCGTGGCCACAATGCTTGCAGACAAACTCTGGGAAAAATTACTCTTGTACTAGATGGCTAAAAAAACTGAAAAAATGAGAACATAAAAGGAAGTATTTGGGGTTTATATTGCACATCAGAACCTATTTAAGCCACTTCTGCAGCGATTTTATGGCTATGGAGCATTCACAGCCCAAGCTTGTGCTTTGCACTGTATTCAGTCTGTATTCAGAATCATGAGTGTCTGTGCAGAAAAAACTTCCCCTGCTGATGAGTGGAAAAAATTTCCCAGCAGCCAGCATATTGTGTAGCCACTCCTGTTGAAATACACAGCATTTTCCACTGCAGCAGACAGCACTGGCAGCTGTCAGGGGCAAAGGCACAGGGATGCTGTACAGCAGGGGACATTGCAGCACATAAAAATGTCAGGAAAGTCATACTTTACCCAAATAACTGGTTTCAGTCAATGTTCATAGACTGACAAAGAAGACAGCACTTGTTTTGAAGAAAAGAGACCTTGTGAGATGAGTTAGCCCTTCTCCTACCTGCAGAAAAGCAACTGACAGATATTTTCCAAACTCATTTCTGAAAAATCACCAGAAAGACTCAATAGTCACATAGAAAATTGCCCCAGTCTTTCCCTATTCTAACATGAGATGGCATGTTTGCAACAAAAAGTTAAATACCTCCTCTAGCTATTTCTTCAGTATTTCCATGCATTGTTATAACACAAAGCACAGTCAATGAGAATTAAATGGATAACTTAATATTTTGAGGTAAGAGCAAGAAAGTCGGGGTAAAGTTTCTAATGAAATTTCTTAATCTCAGGACTTCTGAGCTTCTCTTCTGCTTTATTAAGACTATGTTCCTGTCAGACTCTGATACACAGAATTTCAGGGAGAATGATGTCTCCAGGAAGAAGCAAAGGTAAGGTGATTTTTTCATGGGAAGCTAATATCAGGAATAAATATAGAGCAGCTTCTCCTGCTTCTTAAGAAAAACCTCTCTGAGAGGCTGAATAGACTTTGCATTTTCTTAATGAAGATACATTTTTTCAATTTAAAATCCTATGCAAGTGAAATATTGCTCTCATTGATGATTGCAGCAGGAAATCAATTCAGCATTTCACATTCTGAAACAGATCCCATAAATTGCCCTAGTCCCTTGATTGCAGTGCAAGTCTGACAACTCACATAGTTGAGGCTCTGTCTATTTAGACAGCAGATAATATTCCCACTGCCACTTTAGGAGCAGAGCAGGTGAGTTTGCAGTATAGAACTGAGACAGATCTGCTGACATCAGATTAATATAGACATTTCTTCCTTGAGAGTATTTGATTTTCAAAGTCTTTTGAGAATTTAGTGTTTGAATCTCTGAGATTCGTGGTATATTGTACTATAAAAGGTCATTGATGTCACTGAGAACTTTATGGGCAGTAGCTCTTGCCATCAGATAATATTCTGTATGTGCAAACTCAGGCTGAAAAGTGCATCCATTTTTGACTGTAATGTTGAAGGTTCTGTCTCATGAGCTTCTGAGAGCTCAATTTATCATACTTGTGCTGAATTAATCATAAAGAAGCACAGGAAACATTAGACCTTTGTCTCAGATCAACTGTCCCAGTGACATTAGGGGATTAGCATTGAACCAGGGACTGCTGGTGCCGGAGCAGGGACAGGAGCTTAAATGCTGCTGGAAGCCAGTGCCCTATCCAGGTTCCAGCAGGCCAATTCCCTCTGACTTGAGATGTATGGGCAGTGATAATTGGTACCAGTATTCCTAACTCATAAAGAAACCACTACATTTCACAGCTTGGAAATGTATGAGCAGACTCTTGGACCTGTGAACTTGAGCAAAATGGACACAGGCTCCTTTTAATCCTGCTTCCCATTTTATTACAGCTACTGTGAAACATCATTGCCTGCTTCATTGCAGAAGTTTACCAAAACTTGGCTCTGAAGAAATATTTCATCCCCCAGAAGAACCTCCCATGAAAAATAAACAAATCTTTGTGAAGTCAAACAGGCACTGCAACTGTCACTAGATCCCACATTTCTCAACTCGAAGAGGTGCATGCTTTCAGCCCTGCTGTTTCCAAGCTACTAATCCTCACATTATTTAAACTAATCCCACAACGGACAAAGTTATAACACTCTAAAAATCCTTTCTCCTAGGGAGGTAATTAAAGCCTCTAGAATAGGGGGTGAGGGAGTAGACAAGGCTGCAAACCTCTCCTGGTGAGGAAAATCCAACAAGGAGAGCATTTGGGTGATGCACAGTTATCTTTAGTGGCCCTGCTTCTCTCCAGTTCCACAAGGCACTTACCTCGAGAAATGTCAAAGCAAGCAAAGCCAAAGAAGCAGCACTCCTTCCTCTGCTTTTCTTTAAACCTTGCAAAGGATGTACATTGGAATATCACCTACTGTGCCTATGAAACCATTTGCAGTTCTGTCCTGGAATTAAGCTAAGAAAAATTGTTCATGTAATGAATGCAGCCAGATCTCAGGTGATACAGCTTCGGAGGGATTTTTTTTTTTAGAAGAGATGAAAGGTTTTTTTAAGACTTTCACACATTTTGTGGGTTTACTCCAAACCTCTGCATTTGCTTTCATAACATCACTTGTACTTCCAAGGACGAGATGTGTTTGCACTGGGGATAGCTGTGCTCAGGGCTCAGGGATGTACAGTGGCTGGACAGCCAGAGCCTGCTGGAAATTGTTACGACTCCAGCAGACAACAGGAAGGAGATGAAAGGGTGCAAAATCAAGGCTGACAAAAGATGTGCAGGATGTTATATACCTCTACTGTTCACTGAAAGCTTTCATTTTCACATTTCATTTTCACATCCTAATGGAAGAATAATACCCACTTATAATAATATCCATAATACCTTGATTTTGACATTGAGATTGGATAGACAAAGGAAAGGAGTTGCACAGAAACTGCACAAATAAATGCAGGGGAAATCTCTGTGTGTATGTGGGTGAATGGACATGTGCATATGCATCTACAAACGTGCCAAGGGAGCTGTTTATGTACTGGAACTTCTCATGCTGGTGTAATGGTGTGGCAACAGACTGAGGGAACTGTGTCCATAGTGCCATTCACTGCCTGTGAAAAGAAGAGTTCAATTTTCACTGTCACATAGCAGCTGATGCTTGGTAGCTACAGAAGACAGCAAACGATGCCTTTGATTTTTTTCTTTGATATATAATCTTGGCGTAAACAACTATTTGTTCCTCTTTCTTTTCCAGTCTAAAGACAGTCACAGACTCATCGATAGAGGAGGAAGTTCTCCAGTGGCTCAGGCAGGTGCAGCTTGTGGATTGTGTACAGGCACGAGCGCCCCAGATGCTTCCTGATGCACAACCGGCACAGCTGGGCGAGGCTGGCAGGACCTGGGGGAAAGGGAAAAGGCAAGAAAAAGCACCCTCAAACCAACTGACGACACACTCACTGAACCATGGGGTGAGGCTGAACACTGGGTGGTGGTACTAAAGTATTATCTATTAATAAACTTCTATGGCAGTTTTTAACCTTAAGAGTCCCACTAGGTAAATAGGTATGATTTTCCTTCAGTAGACAGGAAAAGAAAGCACAGGATAACTGACTGATTTACCCACAAAACTGTAGCACCAGGTGGCAGATCTAGCAAGGAAACAGATTTCTGTGACATGTTACAGGTTTGAAGGCAGCAGAGAAAGTAAAAGAAGTTATATAGGGCATTACTTATTTCAGCAGTTAAGAAAATCTACTTAGGTAGAGGATATAAATACTGCTTTACTTAAAAAATGAGAAGAAGAAAGGAAATCATTACCTTCCCGAAGCAGAAGTGCCTGCTCCACTTTGCTGTTGGGTGTGGCAAGATCCAGGGCACATTTGAGGTCAGCATTCCTGCATTTCGGGTCAGCACCATAGTCTGTCAGCAAGACCACTATCTCCACACTGGATTTCCTCGCTGCTGCGTGGAGGGGGGTGTCCAATCGCTTCCCCATGTTCACGTTGGCTCCTTGAGTGAACAAAAGCTCATGGTCAGATCTGGAGGCAGCAGAACTGTGCAAAGCTGCATCACAGGGGCTGATTTCCACCAGTAACCTCAATAAATGAAGGGGATGGATGGCACACAGGATTCCCTCAATCTCTCAACAGCAGCTCTGCAAAGCTCGATGGGTCAAATACCTGCTCTGTCCAAGTCCTCTGGGCCACCAAACTGTGTCTGTGATGCTCAGAATTGAGCAGCTCAACCTTCAACCCAATACATGTTCAAAGCSTACCATATGCTCTTTAAACTTGTTAATACCACAAAGTCTAACATGGATTATATTAATTTAATTTCCAGGAAAAAAAAAAAAACCAGACCTTTAGACATCTCACTGTAATAACTCTGGAAGCACAGCAAGCAAACTGCTTGCCCCAGGCTGGCTGGGCACAGCAGGGAGGGCCACACTTGGAGAAGGTGTAAGTCAGCTAATACACACTGACAGCAAAAATCTATGCTAGTTCACAGCCTGGGCCTGGACCTGCAGTGATTATTCTTCCAAGCAGCTTTACTGCTGCCCTCATCATCCACTGAGGAGCAGGTGAATTTAATGGCTTTGATAAATTGCTGTGTTAAGCAAGAGTTGATTTTGGTCAGTAATATTAGCCAGCATTTTCTGTGCTTCCTGTTACCATGCTAGAAAATTGAAATAATTCCATTTTCACATTCAGACAGCCTCAGGGAGGTGTCTGTAATTAGAGGGCTTTTTACTGAGGAAAGCATAATTTCTTCATCAACACAGGAGAAATTTTTAATGGCCTCAAATGAGTCTCATAGCCTCAGGCTGCCCAAACAACTCTTGTGGGAACAACCCATGATGTTTACAGTGGAGAGGCAGCCCAGAGAGACCAGCAGCACTCACTCACACCACCGTAGCTGTCCCCCACCCCTCTCCCAGTGTACCTAGCTCCAAAAGTTTCTTGACACAGTCTGTCCTCTGGTAGGTGCAAGCCACGTAGAGAGGGGTCCCATGCTGCGGGTCCTCTTGGTCGATGTCAACGCCGTGGGCCACCAGGGTCTCCATGCACTCCCTGTGACCTGCGGAGGGAAGAGCTGGCCCTGAACGGCTGCAGGGCAGAACACACCCAGACACAGCTCTGTGCAACAACCCAGTCTATTTATCTGTACTGACATGGAAATAATTCTGCTTTTCAGGTGCTTTGTCAGCAACAAAAGCGTTGCTGAGCGTTGCTCAGCGTAACACCCTGAGCATTACCTCTCTTGACGGCTTCATGGATGGGTGAAGGCAGCTGGTTCCCGTGCTGTGCCTTGGCTCCGAATTGCAGCAGCACGCTGGCACAGGCAGCACTGCCACTGCAGCAGGCATTGAACAGGGGTGTGATCCCATCGATGGTGACAGCATTGACCTGGAACAGTGACACACACTCGGGATAATCCAGTTTGAGCGCAACGCCCTCGCAGCCTGCCTCCTGTGTGCACCAGGAGGGCATCAGAGTAAGACTCCTGTCCTGTGTACTTTCAGAAATTATTTTATTTACAGCTTTATGTATTGTGACAAAACATATGTAATATTTTCCTTTGATGTCTGCCCTCTTCCCCAGGTTGATAGTGCCATAAGGCAGAGGCACTGCCTGCTCTGAATGCTCCTCCTGGAGCTGCTAAAACCACAACTTTTTATTCTTTCTCTTTTTTTTGAATTTGAAGAAGTCAACTATTTTCATGATTGTTTAGTTTGTTCCAGCTTCAAGGTAGAAATGCCCTCAAACAAAAATGGCTTTGCTTTTTAACTGAAAATATTTACATTTAATACTTTCACCAGAAAACACATTTCCAGTAAAAGAAATTTTCATAGAAATATAATCCCACACAGAAAGGGAACTTGAAGGAGTTGATATGCATGTGTGTCTATGCAAGACAGAAAATTTCCTCCTCAACTTCTGATGCAAAGACCGGGCAAGAACCACTATTGCCATTTTCCACTGGGACAACAGGGCTGTGGATCACACAATCACTCAATCCCAGAATATGCTGAGCTGGAAGGGACCCATAAGGATCCCAGAGTCCAACCCCTGGCCCTGTGCAGGGCACCCCAAGGATCACACCATATCCCTGTTTATGCTCTGTTTAACTACATAGCAAGTCCTCAGGGGCAATTTATGCAGCAAATCTGCATGTCTAACTCTGTGCCACAGTGGAGAAGAGCAGTGGCTTATGCAAGCACCTGCCAATTTGTACCATTTCCACTCCCTTCATCTCCTCCCAGTCTCATCAGGCAGGTGTGGGTGGAGCTGCTGGAGACACTGGAGGTCTGTGAACTGTTTTGGTGCTGCTTGGTTTCTTGCCATATCAATTGTACTTGAAAACTCAGTTGACATAGAAATATTCTTACATATTTCATCCATTGCTTAATCTCTATTGTGAACATGTATYCTGCCTTAGGTCCAGCTGTGGGAATTGTTATTCTATTAGCAGATAAAATGTTTTATTGCTTCAAGCACATCCATTTTTACTTACATGAGACTCCCCAACCATCCCATAGATAACCAGATGTAATTCCAGTGATCATTGCTGAGGGGGGGAGGGGGAGGGTAAAGGTGTAAGTTACTTTCTTCAAGGTTATTTCATTTATCATTTCTCATTCCATTTCCATCAATCGTGACTATGTTTCACACACAAAGGGAAAACAAAAGAGAATAACGGGGTGATACAAGGGGAAGACAAGTCCATCACCTGAGGAAACAGAACACTGCTACATTTTTCCACATTTCTGTCTGAGATGTCCATTTGCATCTTGACCCTGCCCATCCACCAGCCCCACTGATGCAGGGAGCATCCATTCTCCAGGTTCCYGTGTCCCCACTGGCATTGCCAGSACTTACCTGGGCACCGTTTTCCAGCAGCACCTTGGTGCAGGCGACGTGGCCGCCCAGGCAGGCTTCATGGAGCGCTGACACACGGTCTGTTGTCACCAGGTTCACGTTGAAACCCTGCAATGAGGGAGCAGGGCTGTGAGGGGAGAGCCCTGCCCGARCCACAGCTCTGCCAGCGCTGGTTTGGGTCTCAGGGCAGTGGCACCATGGCAGGGAGAGCTTTGTCACTGGGTACGTGCCCAGGGAAAGCGCTTGGGTTGGATTCGTGCTGTTCAGTGATTCAGTTCTTGTCCCCACAAGCTACAACTGGTGAAGGGGTTAAAGAGCTCTGCCCTTCTATTTCTGGTTCTTTATGGTGCACTGCCAATTGCAGCAAAGACATCACATTTCTTTAACTTATCAGGGTGGCATTCCCTTCCCTATCAAGTCCTGCAAGAGGAGCTACAGCTGGAGGAATTCACCTCCCCAATGAGGATGTCTCTGGCACAGGTATCTGCAGCTCAGCTGGAGCTGGCAGCTCATTTACTGGGAGAAACAGGCTTCCCTAGGATATGATTCAGCCCATTCTAAAGCAGCTGCTTCTAGTAGGGCAGATGAATTGCATCCTATAAGTTCTTTCATTGATTCCATGGGATTCCCAAATGTGTTTCACTCAGAGGCAATGAGTACCTGGCAAATCTACAGGACAGGTAAGACAAATCCCACCCACATCAGTTCCTCTTATTTGACCATCCAGGAAATGTTTTACATTAGAAGAAAGAACAGTGATTTGCAAATATCTTATTACAGATGTTTCCCTAAATGACAGTTGCCATATCTATTCCAACATAAAAACAAACCAGACATATTCACAAAGGACAAGGCAGTTGTCAGATGTTTTTTGCCCACAATGCAATCGGTAATTAAGATTTTAGAACCGTATGTGAGAACAGGGCTGGAAGCAGCTCTGTTTTCCACTGAATGTATTTCGAAGCACAGTTGGTGCCTGCCTGACATGCTATAGACAGGGCAGCTCACGAGATGGCAGCAATGCACTTTTTGGAACGCAGCACCCAATGCAATGGGCAGAAAGRAGAGCCTGGGAGCAACYTCACATGACAAAAWACTCAGCAGTCCTSATGYCGTGAGTATTAAAAACAACCACTGCAATCACTTCAGGCTAAGAATTATATAATWTWAAAACAATCTTTTTCAGTCATGTGAAAATATTATTGATGTAAATGTTSTTGTTAAAACTTCTCATGCATTACAGTGGTGCCAGGGGAATAGATAAAATCTTGAAAAGACAGCGATGATTAAATTTTCTAATTGTATGGTTGTTTCATACTAAGTGATCAACACATTCCTTCAAGATGAACGTCTTCTAGAGACTCTTAAGAAGGAGTTCTATTCTCAATCATTATTTATATATACATATATATATTTAACAAATAAAACTCTGTCATTCCAAGTGAAAGAATAAGCACTAATATCTTGGGGGGGAAAAAAAGCAATTCCTTCCATTACCAAATGGAGAATAAGTTGTAGACCTTACAATGGCTGTTTGCCAAGCATCACTCATGCCAAACTTTGTTTTCAATGTACATGAAAAACCAAACTCTTTTCAGGCACTGAAAGAGGCACTGAAARATGTTGTCTTGAGCTGTTTTAAATCTCCAGCACTACATCTCCTCGCTATGTCCAGGCATTCCCTGTGGACCCAGAGCCTCAGTGGCTTTTTTGAAGGTTGTGGTCCTGCAGCAGAGGCTTCTGAGTGTCCCACACATACTCGAGTACAGTCACATCCTTGATTTCAGGTTAGTGGTGTAACTATATTGGAAGCAATGAGCAATGATTATGCTGCTCCATGACCAACTTCACCCCCACTGCCCTGATCACTTTTCATCAGCAAGGGCCTTTATCCTTTATCCCCCAAAATTAGATGTCTTCAGGAGAAGGAGGAAGGGTGGATTAACTAAATGATGTAACCACACCATTGGATGCTTCTCCAGTGTATAACCATGACCAGTGCACAACCAGGGCATCTGGTGAATATCCACAACAGCAAGTGGTGTAAGGCCAGCATAAATGGAGATAGAGGGGTCAGAAAACCACCAAATCCCTGAATGAATAAACCCTTTTTCTTTTTATCTCTAACCTCCATCACTTCCTTTTACATAAAAATCATTCAGCAGGTGAAACAAAGAGGGATCAGGAAATGGGAGGGGGAATATTGTCTGTAAACAGCAACTTTTTTTAGCTGCAGTTATGCCTCAAAAGATGTCTGGAGTGGAGGCTTTCCCACTGGCAGCTCCACTCCTTGAGGATGTTGTCCATTCGAGCTGTGGSCTCTCTGGTAAAAATTATTTACCTTGACTATGAAGTCTGATAGCCAAGTCAGAAGCTTTCCACTCAGAAATTAATTTCCCTGCAGTTGCCTTGGGAGCAAGATGGAGAGGGGGACAGTTGCCTATTTGTGCAAAGGTGGTGAGGAAGATGGTTGGCAAAGCACAAAGAACCATAATCCATATCTTTCGCTTTTTGTCCTTTCTCATGTATTCTCCTCTCTTTCTTTTGCCTCAACTCTCAATTCCTTTTGGAGSAGAGGGTTTTGGGCTGACAGCTCTGTCTTTATAGAAAGCAAGATCCACTTTTACAGCTTTTTATTGTCTTGGGTTTTTTATAGCCTACATATATATATATATATACACATATATATTTATCATCCTGACTCCCAAGCCTGGTTGAGAGGCTGACCATTGAGAAAGAGCACAAGGATCACTGTTCATCATACAGAGAGCTACAAGCTGTAACAGTCTTTGTCCCAGGCTTGTCCCCAGCTTCTTAGCTAAGCAAACCAACAGYTGCCCAGAGGTGTTTGTGCTCATACATTATTCATATTCAGCCATTTTTCTCATGCCCTGCTGAAATCTATTACCAGCTCAGCAGCCCAGAGATGCAAGTCGTGTGAAACCACCCTGCTTCCCAACCYTTTCTTTACCTGTGGGCTTTTACCTGTGCAATCAAGGTTTTCAGCGAGAGGAGGCGTCCCTGGAAGGCAGCGTCATGGAGAGGRGAGCGATCTGCCCAGCTGCCTGAAACAGCAAATGCATGGGAGACAATTCAGGTACGGAGCAAAAGCAGATTTTGGGCGGACAGGGGAAGCACAGACACGTGTAAATGCAGATCAGGACTGAAATCAATACGGGTTCAGCGGTGAAACTGTTTGATGAATTGATTTCAGCAGAGCAGCAGAGGGCTCAGCAATCCTGTGAAAGCTGGCTRCTCACTAAGGGATCTAAACAAAAGCCACCTGGCAGAACTTTTAAAAGGGCAGCTAAAAACCTGTTTCAGCAAAGATCACGAGTTTAGTGCTGCTGGGTCTCATATGCAGACCTCAGAACCCTGCAATTCTCCTACTCAAAATCATATCAACCTCCACCTTTCCTAGGGAGCTTTTGTCACAAATTGCATCCCAGCTTCTCTGACACTTTGCTAAGAGCCTCATAGCAGGGATAACTTGTCCATCAAATGAATTCTGGCATGTCCTTGGCAGYTTTATTTCCTGAACTGACAATTTCATAAATAACATCCTCCATCTCAGACTACCATGTAACAAGTTTAATCATCCTCTTCACTAAAAAATTTTAGAAAATACATGGAAAAAGACATTCTGCCTGAGGCTTTGCTTTTCTTCTTTAATAATTTTGAGATGTTGAACTGTTCAGACTCCTTCATGTAGGCTTGTTTGCCCTTTTTCCTATCTTAATCTATTTATGTGCCAAGAAAAATAATGTTTTAGCCTAGCTACTACCTACAGGCACAGACAGCCAGCTCAGGTTTAATCCCTGCCACTCAAGTAAAGAGCAAATTTGCTTGTTCTATATTAAAATTTATAACCATTCTGCAACACAGTGTGTAGTAAATATTTCTCCAAAGGCCAGCTGCCTTTCCAGTGCCACAGGACAGGAGCAATACCAGTGTTTGCATTCATGCTCTGTTGTACAGCAACCCCACGGGCACTGTATTTGAAACCCTTGTCCTGTTTAATTTTTTCAGCTATGCTGCACACCAGAGAGAATGGAAGGGGTGATTTATCTCCATTTCAAATGTTACCCAAGGCAGGGAGAAATCAATGAGAGGCACAGTCACATCCATGGGGACTTGAGGCCAAGGATATAGCAGAGGTTTCACCCTTGGCCAAAGTCTCCTTTTGTTACCCAAAAACCAGGATGCTCTTCAGCTGTTGGGGTTACAGCTTTAACTATAGTTACTACTTTGGTTTCCATTTATTTAAGGAGCATTTCCTGGGTTCCTAAGGCAGGAAGCTGGCATGGAAAGACCAGCTGGCACAACATGTGGCAAGGCTCTGAATGGACAAATAGAACACATCAGTCAAAATGATGCAAATAGGAACCAAGTAGGAATCCAGAAACATCTTCCTGAAAACATCCAAAATACCCTACACCTCTCTTCAAGCTGGTGACTGAAACAGGCAAGCTCAGTTCAGAAAGTCAGACGACATTGCAAGTGACAAAGCCCAGARCCCTTTTACAGCAGGAAGATTCAGGAGTAACTCAGGAACAGAGCCACATAAGGACCTTATTTAACCTTYTATGCAGAGTGTAACACGTGCGTGCTCTCACACACATTTCCAGAGAATTTCCAACACGTGTACACACACACAGCCCCACAACAACACACCCTGCCACACACTGCCACCACCACCTACCTCCCTGAAACATGTGGCAAACATAGTTCCCATATGGGGCACTTCTCCCCTCCTCAGCTGTGAGCGACATGACTGAAAGTGCTCTTTTGAAATGCCTACGGATAAATTCAGCAGCCCTGCTGCTGCTGTGCTACTTCACTGCAAAGGGAAAAGGTTGTGAAGCTCTGACTGTAATATGATAGAGTGCCCCAGCAACAACATCACATGATCTAACATTTTGTAAGATTATCCTTAATGGCTTTCTGCAAATGGCAATCTGCAGATAAAAATATGTTTTTGCCTGCTGAATTTCAAGGCACCTCAGTAAGAACCTGAATGATGGAAAAACTGCTGTTCACCCTGTGCCAGACTAGCACTGAATCAAGGTGCTTGGAAAAAAATTATAGTAATAAATGGTTGGAATTATATTCTAGGGAATAAAAAATAAATTAATAACCAAGACATGCCTGTATAAATACAGGCTACATAAAGTCTTTTTAAAAAACTCTTGGCTGCAGTGTTTCTCTTGGGCAGATCTTAATCTCCCTGCTTTGCATGGCCATCACACACCATCCGTGTTCTGCTCTGGTTCATGTGTTCACGGTGGCACAATCCATCATGGAGCTRGTGCCCAACAAATGAGTCACAGAGAAATGTGTGATGTCACAATGTGATCAGAATCTTCAGCTAGGAAAGCAAGCCCTAATTAGCAGGAAATTCAAAATACTGTGTCATTTTAATTAGTGGGATTAACAGGCATGCAAACACATGCCTGTTCATTATTATGGCAGTGATGTGAAGGACCAAAATCACTTGAAAAAAAACAAAACCATGAGCTACTAAGCAACATACGAAATACAATATATTCTTGTGCTGTGTATTTTTCAGAACAMTTTTAGCTGCATTCATTTTTATCATCTGATTTAACAAAACAAGGATTCTTGGCTTGGATTCATAAAGTCATTAGATATATCCTCCTAGCATCTCATTTCAGAACATCAATGTGCTAAAACTTTTCCCTAAATATTCTCTGGCAGAAAAACTGGATATTTAGTAAAACCATCTGTGACCACTGCTAAAAAATACCTTGTATCTGAGAACAATATTTTTATTTACCATATTGCCTTGAGCAAATGTTGTCCTCATTCTAACTGGGTAATTGTTGGAGTCTCATATTTTGCACACCTAAATCATGCCAATACATACTGACACTTCAAAGACCCCAGAAATGGGAGGCACTTCAGATTAAAACATTTACMCATGCATTTGGCAAYGGATCCCTCATTTTATGGCAACTCACTGATTTAAACAGTCAAGGTACAAATATGTGGCAAATAAACATTTAAATGTTAGAAAGTCCATATTTTTACTTTACCTGGGACTAYTCCATAGATCTCTTCTGCTATCCTGGCAGCTTCTTTTCTGTTGCCTTTAACAATATAGAAATGGGTCAGCAAAGCCAAGGAAATCTTAATTAAAAGCTTGAAGCAAAACAAAGCAAAAATGGCAAAATAAATGTTAGTGAAAGAATGGAGTATAGAACTGCCCTCCATTTTGGTTTGCTCTTTGAATAGTTTCTCAGGTTGGCTGAGTTGCACTGGGCTATTCTTGGTATCATATGTCATCTATTTTAAACCCTTCAGGACCTGCTGTTCCTCAGTTACCAAAAATACATTCTGGTTTTATTTGGTATGAAGTATTTGATACTAAACAACAATACCAAGGATAAGATAGTTTGAGCATCTCTGCATACAGGAAGCAAATCAGAAAATCCTTTCCAAACCTACATAAATGAGAATAAATTTTCAGACAGATGCTCTCCATACCACCTGAAAGCCTATACATCCACACGAGATTTATTCTTTGAAGTAGCGGTTCCATTTACAAAGATTGCATAGGTAAAGCTRCAGAAATTGTTCAGAGGTGCTGCAAAAAGAATACTTTTCTGTCTTTCCCATCTTGATAACAGGCCTTGCTGGCACCCAGATATAGAACAAAGGCAAACATGTCAAAGAAAAGCATTATCATGAAAGAACTTGAAATAAACCCAAATATGTCCAAAGCCAGGGCTAAGAAGTCAAAGTTATTCYAGGAGGAGAAAAAGATATTGAAATTGGATGATAAGAAACGCATGATAACATACTGGTTTTTCCATTACACAGGGATGAAGAATTATGTCCTTTGATATCTCTTGCAAACAGCATTCTTTGTTTTGAAAAAAAAAAGAAATATTTTTACGTTGTCTGCAATTGATTCAAAGCTGTAATATTTGAAACTGAACATGATGCACCCTTTCTTTAACCACCCTTTTTATTTTGTAAAGGCATAGGTTTCCATAGAGAGAGAACAAAGGGTTTTTTTCTGCATGCATTTAACTGAATCTATGTAGAACCCCCCATCTCTTTTTCTTCTAAACTTGTATTTATTCCTATTTTCCTATATGCTCCACAGGAGGAGGATTTCTTCCTTTCTCAATTCCCCTCCTTGCCCAGGTTCTCTTAGCCTCCAATTTACACACCTGTCAAGGAAAAGAGCAGGATAACTTCTCTCTTAGAGATTCCAAAGAGAAGGTAAATGTGCACAAGGAAATTATACAGCAAATTATCACTCTAGATCTAACTTATTTTGGTTTATAGSAATATAGCTGGTTTAGTACTTGCTGTCCTCAGTGCTCAGCCCTCCCAGGTGCACTAAAATGCCATATAAAGTATGTGCAGAGATTAAACAGCCCAAGCAATTTTCTAAGTGAACCAATTTTTCTAAAATTCTGAATTAAACCAAGCTATTACATTCTTACCAATAACTTAACTCCTTACARAAGTATTGCATCTACCTTTCCTTACCCAGTAATGTTATATACCTGTATAAACTATAATAGCTATGAGTCCCAAAGAGGAAAATTTCCTCTTTTTAGTCTCTTTGGTACAGTTTGCCACAGGACAAGACAGTTCAAGATACAGATTACTTTACAAGAGAAGTTCAATTAAGGAATCACATAAAAACAGTTAATTCTGCTCAGCTGAGAAACAAWGACATTAGCAGACACAGGTGGACCAGAAAAAGAGATGACCAGTCAGCCCAAAAAAATCTGGGAAAATGAAAATATTCCTCCCAAAGCCAAAGGAATAGTAAAAAGTGTAAAGAACAATAGGTRAGATGCAGAGAAAAAGAACATATTAAAGTATTAAGACCATTACTAAGTAAAGTCAGCCTAYATGACACAGAAATCTTTCTCATGTAAGATTTGAAAAACTAGCTCTCAACAGGACGTGAGAAAAAAAAGAGCATATTTTAAGAGAAAAATCAGAAWATTGGCTTTTGGTTGCAAAGGAGATTCACTGTTTTCTTTCACAATCAGCCTGCTAGATGGTATGTAGAATTGCACACGTCCACAAAACTCAGAACAATACAAGACACTGGAGCTCAGGTGATTTCCACTGCAAATCTCTTTTCCCTAATGGAATAATTCAGAATTGCTCTCCAAATGCTCTAAAAAAACATGAGAAAGTTTGATTGCTTGGAAGCAGTCACAGGAACATGACTTTTCCAGAACAACAAACTCTATTTATGTAGCAGCAAAATCACCCTTCTGCCTTGGGAACAAGACAAATAAAGATTTTCAGTTAAATTATGGAGTGAGTCATTKGAGAAAAACTTGTGTAATCTCTTAATCTGCTCTTAATGTACAAGAGCACTAGGAAAATCATTACAGTGGATTAAAAAGAAAATCATCAGCGGGAAGACAGCTGAACAGCATGGTGGAAAGTATGAATGWTGGTGAAGGTGGTAGTCAGGTAAATCACAATAAGATTGGGTGTGCAGTAAGAAATCTGATACTTTTGAAAAGTAGAGATGAGCAACATAGTGTAGGCATGAGAACAGGCAGAACACAACAGAACAGCAGTGACAGTGCAGAAATATCATTCCTCCCTCGCTCTTTTGAGCATCATTTTGAGCTGAACGAGATGGATTATGCAACTCCATTGACAGACTTGAGTGAACAAGTCACTCCCCTGTAGAAAAAACACACCTCACCGAGAACTTCTGCAAGATGCCCAGACTACTCCCTGAACTGYTCTTCCTGAACTCTAGGATAATTACTAAATTGTAAAATCAAAATATCMAAAAAATATATTAATCCTTAAAAAATATTGTCATGAGATGGTGAAATAATAGAAGTAGTTCAGGTAGATCCTCCAAAGAACTGGAAAAGTAATGTTCATATATGCTTAGTTTACAAACATGCAAGGAAAGAGCAGGGATAAAAAGGCAATCCAGTTCAGAAAACAACTCATTTTCAATAAGGTCCACCTTAATTTTATTCAGCTTGTAGGAAGAAACATCAGATGTAACCTGAAGAATTTGGCAAGGAAATAAAAATAAGAGGGATCCTCATCTCAAAGAAATTCAAAGAGACATTGGTCACTGCACACACTTTGAATTACAGCTGTGTATTTCTAATATATAAAGTTGGGATTAGAATATCACGTGTATTCAATCAAAGTGAGGCAACTAGGGGAAAAAAAGGAGTCAGAAACACTCAAACAGAAGAGATGAGCACAAAGATGTCCACATAGAGCCTGGCTACTTCTTTTCTATCAGCTTGATCTAATAAATGACAGTTCYTCCCAAACAAGCCTTGCCTCATTTGTGGCAGCTTACAACACTCCTGCTTTCAAGAGTTACAGAGAGTGACTCACTGACATGAGTCAATGCCAAGCCAATGTGGAATTCATCTCACCTATCTGCCACCCATCACACTGGGTAGGGCCTGGTTACTCTGGAAACTCCTGCTGCTGCCTGGGCAGGAAGGCAGCAAATTCCAGCAGGCACTCGATTTCCCCCCTGGGCCTCCAGTGCCTTTGTTCACAGGGAATCCCCCAGTCCCGCCTGCTTAAACAACAATGAAGAAMCAGAATGTACAAAACAACCACACACAGTTAAAGTTTGATGAATCCCACACGAGTGGCATCTCCAGAGTTATGACAGTACTGAAGCATGTCAGGATCTGAAAGCAATCTAATCTACCTGCTAGGTTTACAAGAAAAAGATATCATTCCAGTAAAACAATAAATTCAGATGCATAACTACTTCCTGTCTTTAGTTTTGTTCCCTTAAATAAATATCCATCTTCTATCCGACTATGTAAATTCTCAAGTAATTAGGGAAAACTGTGGAGGTCAACATACCACTGTGTGCCATGATGCACAGCAAATATCACAAGTTKTTTAATGAGAGCAAATAAACACTAAAAATATCTAAATATTTTAAATTTTGAAAAKTTAAACCATTTTGAGATTGATTATTCTTTTATCTATTTACATAAATTCTGTACTTACTGAAGCARAAAGCACCAGAAAGACTTCTACAATTAATTTTTGAAAGCCTAAGCATATACAAAAAGGGACCAGTGAAGAGAAATAATTATTAGAAAGGGAAAAATATACTTTAAACAGATGCAGAAAAACTTGACCACAAAAAAAAGTGTTTACCTTCTTACAGATTTATCCCCACCCACTAAAGCACAGTCTGAAAGACTAATCTTACRTCCATACTTTACTTGATATTTGTATGGTGCACTGTATCATTTAACCAACAATTTTCAACACCTTAATTCAGTCTCTGCACAGAATGTGTAAAACATTTCTCCTTGTGCCGGGAGATGGAATTTCATTGCAGATTGAGGACGACCTTTTATACAGGGTGGGGTTTGCATGTCCCTTCCTCCTCCCACCCCTCCTCCCAGAGGCTCTGATCAGTGCAAGACATTGCTTAATAAGMATCACTCTCGCTTTGGCAACAGTTCCCTGGGATTTCACGAGGATCAAATGTTACCTACAAGCACAATTGAAACATTTAATTTTTTTAAATAGTTATTTTATTAATTTCTTACTACACTGATTAGCTCAGTTAATTTTTTTTTGTTTTTAGTATTCTGATTATTTAACTTTTTTGTGTTACCCACTGATGTTTTATAAAACCATAAAAGGTTCAGTGACATCACACTTCACTGCACAATGCCAGTGAGYGAATCATTCCCAGAGAGCTCTGCATAATACAAGTGGTATTATTTGAGAAACCAGCTATGGGCTAAGTTTGTACGGGAGCTTGTACAGAATGGTTTTTTTTAATAATTTTTCTCATAAGAACTCCAAGAACCAGTAATGGAAAGCAGCATCATGCTGTGTATTTCTGTATTTTCTAATTACATGTTCCCACATACTAAAGAAATGTATTCATTCTTTGGACAAAGGTAAATAAACTTCTAGATAAACTTTACATTGGTCTTGTAAACAAAACCATAACAAGGTTTTATTATGTTATTCATAAGTACACCATGTTCCACAAAAGAAAAAAATATTTTGAATAGATACACACAATCCTTTTGATTTGTGGTTGTAGATGTTGCAGGAAACCAAATAGAACAAATAAAATATTATTAAAAATACATATATATATATATTTCCCTGGAGTGACAATCAGTATTTTCAAAAGGTTGTTAGAAATGTGAATGCTTGAATTAAAATAAAAAAGAATAACTTAGAAAAGTAAAATATTAGCTTAATTC